TGTAGGTTTAAGATCGGTTCAGGTTCAGAAAAATGATGGGTTATACCCATACCGCATTACTACACAAGGTATTAATACTGTGTATTGTATTCTTCCTTTATCAGCTTCCCACTGTGTTTCTTAAATTGTGCAGAAAGCTAAAAGAAAATGGGTGTCTATTACCATCTGGCCGGGGACAACAGCTGGAAATTAGCCATGTCGGCTAAAGCTGCACCATTTACTGTGTTTGTGACAGCTCATCGACGGGGACTGTCCACGACACTATACATAAACAAACTAAACGGTCAGTGCATCAACACACTAGTATAGTGGTTATCATGCCGCATACACCATGTGAATAAGTGTGATGATCAATGTGAGTTCCAACTGTTGACCATGAGCCTAGGACAATACTTTCACTAAGCCAATCATTTATGCAAGTTTAACAATTGTTTTGGCTTGCCATGGTAACATGACAAATAGTATTGCACAGAGATGCACGATAGAGGTCGAAATGTGGGAAATGAATGAAAAAAGTGAAGAATGAGGTGGCTAAAGAATCCAGTTTGACTTCAGACTAGTCCAACTGCACTCGTAACGTATAGAGTTATAGAGTGTAGAGTGCGAGGAGGAATGCTCACTGAGAAAAGCATTACATCGAGATCATAATATTTAGATAGCGTTAAGTATAACTGTTAGTAATATCTCCCCCAACAATATGAATAAAGAGAACTCGGGACTTCTTTCAGACAACCTGGAGGGAGCAGGAGTAGCAGTTAGCAACAATGCTAATGCTGACGTTATATCACGCCAGACCCACGTCGATGTGAAACTGCTGCTTTAAAACTAACCCGCATGTTAATTTGAAGACACAGCTGCACACTTTTAAACATTGCCGTTTCATGAGTGAGATGTATTGATAAAACACTGCCCGTTGGATGGAGCTCACCCCTGGCTCATTTCACCAGGCAAGCGGGCTGACTCACAGGCCGCCAACCGCATTGGATTCAGCAGTCGCATAAACAATAGACACCATGCAGCATAGAAATCACACTGTCTGTACTGACTAACAGAGCTCAGTGTAACATATGACATTGCCCTCAGGAATAGGACTCACGGGATTTAGGGTACAACACTCACCTGAAAACGAAACATCTATCTTTAGGCTTTCGGGAAAAGAAGTGCATCGGAAGGGAGCGTGGCGGCGCGCAAGTGACGCAGCCAGGACGTCCACTTGAACGTGCCTTGCGGAACAACGTGAACGAGCACGCATCTGGCACAGAGAGGGGCGGGGGCAAGCCGCTGCGGACGCTTCTTCATGTAAATACACCGCTGTTGGTAAACAGGAAGAGGAGCTGGGAAACAGACTACCAGTAACACCGATCACAGACAACAGGATCGCTGAACAGATCCATGCCAGAGGTGGGAAGTCACTGAGTACATTTACTCAAGTTTACTTAAAGGTAGGGTAGGTACGAATGGAGAAACCAGCTCGAGTGCGCTAGAATTTGAAAGTACACAGCCGAAAAAGATCTGCCCCTTCCTTCAGAATTCCTCACAGAGCCCCTCCTCCAACACACAGGAACGCGCACATGACCAATGAGGGCACGAGATAAGTTTGTGCACGAGATGGAAGGCTGACAGGCAGGTAGGCCGTCCAGTTACTTTAGCCGGGCCACGGCTTCCACAGATGAATTGTTGTTATGTATTTATTGTCAAAGCATTTAATGTATTCATTCATCGGGATTTTAAGAGCATTCCATGGAATGTAACAAAAGTGTTTATGAAGTGAATTACCTACCCCACCTTTAAGTACATTGTTGAGATACTTGTACTTTACTTGGGTATTTACATGTGTGCTACTTCGTATCTTCTACCCCACTACAGTTCAGAGGTAAATTATGTACTTTTACTCCACTACATTTATACCGTTAGTTACTTTACAGATTTGGATTAATGAAAAAATGCATTTCCTGCAGAAAATGCGTGTGAATGCTGTAAACTGTGTACATTTGTTGCTGAATTTAGCTGAATATGTTATTAGTTGAATGGTCTCTGTAGCTGCTTGTAGCTACAGAGACCAAGTCAGTGTGTTGCTGAACTTAGCAGAGAAATGCAGAAAAGTTAAATGATTTGAATCAAATTGTTACAGCTCAAATGCATTGCAATGACTTTGTTGAAAACTTGAAAGTGAAATGTTAAACTGGAAGAGGAGGAAAAATAGTGAAGAAGCTTAATATTTAAAAGAAAAGGTTTAAAAAAGGTATAAACAACAACATGTATAGCCTCAATGTCCTGAAATAGCTGAATAATGTAATAGTTGAATGGTTTCTGTAGCTGAAAGTAGGCTGAAGGAGTTAAACTGAAGGGTTTTGTGCATGACCTGTTTGGGTTTGATTGGGGAAAAATCGATCTGTGTGCTGATGTAGAAACTGCATGGTCTTATTTTTATCTTGGTTTTATGGAGATCATTGATAGACATTCACCCCTGCGTACATTTAGAGTGAAGGGACGAGACAATCCTTGGTTTTCTGCTAATCTGTCCAGTCTCCTTCATGAGAGAAACAAGGCCTGGGCAAAGGCTAGGAATTCAGGCTCAGAGGTAGAGTGGCTGCGTTTTAGGCAGCTAAGGAATAGCTTCACTTCAAATGTCAAAAGTGCAAAGTCGAAGTACTATTTGTCAGTTACCACAGAAAACCTAAATAATCCTAGGAAATTTTGGAAAGCCATTAAATCGATATCCACCGGTGAGATCCGTAATGAGCTACCTCCGTGCCTTACCACAGCATCTGGCTCTATATCGGACAGGGCCACTATGCTAAATTGTTTTAATGAGCATTTTGTGTCCTGCGGTTCTATGTTTGATTCTGTGACTAACTCTGCTTCTGTGAACACCCCAATCCGTGACTCTGAACAATGTGGTCTAGAAAACCCTTTCAGTTTTACTCCTTTTACTGTCAATGTTGTTCATGAAGCCTTATCTAAGCTAGATCCTAAGAAACCGGCTGGCCCGGACAACGTAGAACCTTTCTTTTTAAAGATAGCTGCAGATTTGATTGCTCTTCCTCTTACTACTCTTTTTAACCTCTCCCTCAGCACAAATGCAATTCCAAAAGTATGGAAGTCAGCTTATGTCTTGCCTTTGCTAAAAGGAGGGGAGGCAACTATTTTAAATAACTATAGGCCAATCTCTAAATTGTCAGTTCTGGCGAAGGTGCTCGAACGCCTAGTGAGTGAACAGGTAAAGGAGTTTTTATGTAACAATGATATCCTGTCTAAACATCAGTCAGGCTTCAGAAAACAACATAGCACCATCACTGCCACAATGAAAGTGGTGAATGACATTACGAGTATTTTAGATGATAAGCAGAATTGTGCAGCTCTATTTATTGACCTTTCCAAAGCGTTTGATACCGTCGATCATCGCATCTTAAAGCAGAGGCTACTCAGTATCGGCATATCCAGCCTTGCAGTGGGGTGGTTTGTGAACTACCTCTCTGAAAGATCCCAATGTGTTCACTTTGATGGGCTGTCTTCTGAGTGGTTAAACATTGCTAATGGTGTTCCTCAAGGTTCTGTTTTAGGTCCACTTTTATTCTCCATATATATCAACAGTTTAGGTGAAAATGTGGATGAAGCTACTTTACATTTTTATGCTGATGATACCGTGATGTACTGTGCAGGTCCCTCCATTAAGGAGGCTGGTGTTAAATTACAGGCTGTTTTTAACATTATTCAGACTAAGCTCTCTGAGCTTAAGCTTCTTTTAAATGTTGATAAAACCAAGGTAATGCTCTTTCTAAAGCTAAAAAGACACCAGAGCCTGTTTTGGATATTGTTACTATGCAAGGACAAGTACTTGAAGTGGTTACTAGTTATAAATACCTGGGTATCTGGCTTTATGATTGTCTTACTTTTAAACTTCATGTCAATAACCTGCTTAAAAAGCTGAGGGTTAGACTAGGTTTCTTTTTCAGAAACAAGTCCTGTTTCTCTTTTGAAGCCAGGAAAAGGCTCTGTGACCTTTTTACCTGTGCTGGACTATGGTGATTTGTTGTATATGAATGCACCTGCCTATTGCCTGAACAAGTTAGATGCTGCCTATCACAGCGCACTGAGATTTGTCACAAGTTGTAAAGCACTTACTCATCACTGTACCCTGTATGCCAAGGCAGGTCTGCCATCACTTACTGTAAAGAGGCTCAGTCATTGGTACACGTTTATTTATAAAGCTTTGTTGGGTAAACTCCCGTATTATATCTGCTCTCTGATAACACAGAGAGTTGCAAGCAGCTATTGTCTGAGATCGCATGATGTAGTATTGTTAGATGTGCCAAGAGCAAGGACTGTCTTAGGTAAGACAGCTTTTATGCGCAGCTCCACTTGCTTGGAACAATCTTCAGCAAGAATTGAAACTGAGCAATCTCTTTCCTCTGCATGTTTTTAAAGCTAGGCTAAATGAAATGCTCGTTGATACTATGGGCACTTGTAAATGTCTATAACTATGTAAATGTATCCTGTAAATATAATGTATGATGTCCTTTATTGTTTTATGTTTCATGTGGAACCTATATGCTGCAGGTCTCCCTTGAAAAAGAGATCTATGATCTCAATGGGACCAATCTGGTTAAATAAAGGTTTGAAATGAAATGAAAAGATATTAAATGTAAGTAGTAGTGAATGAATGTTTACAAACACCTGTGTGTGTAAGCCCAGAGATCAAAGGTTACCATGGTGACTACGTTATTAAACACCTGTGTACGTGAGCCCAGAGATCAAAGGTTTCCATGGAGGTGTGCAGTGAAATCAAATCAAGTTTTATTTATATAGCACATTTATAAACGATTTTTGGTCGAGCCAAATTGCTGTACATATAATAAAAATAGCCTACAGTAGAGACACTTTACAGCAAATACAACAGCACAGATTGTTCAGAATATCAGTGTGAGAAAAACGACACCCTCTGTCCTTAGACCCTCACATCGTACAAGGAAACACTTCCAGAGAAAACCCACAGTTTAAAGGGAAAAATGGGAGAAACCTCAGGGAGAGCAACAGAGGAGGGATCCCTCTCCCAGGACGGGACAAAGGAGAGCCTTTCAATTGTTCTTGCTCTTGCAATGCTCTTGCATTTCTAACTTTTGTTGAAAAAAAATAATACAAACCTCCAGTGTGTGTCTGTGTGTACCAGTCTGTCTGTGGGCATGTCTGCTCTGATTAGATGATGTCACTCAGGTGTGTGGCCCCAATCTGCCCAGCAACACCATGGAAACCAACTGCAGCACCATTAAGAATGCATTGAGGATTATATCTGACCATTTTGCCACCTGTTCAAAAACGATGGCTCCTATAAAAAAATGACCAGAAAGTGAGCATCAGGGAACCCCAATGAACTGATATATGTTTTTTGTTTTTTTCTGTGTGTAAAATGTGGAGATGGGAGCAGTTTGTTTAAAGTTTACTTCTCTCTAGTCTGAAGAAAGATCCAAAATGTTTTAACATGGGAGTCTATTGGGAGCTAGGTGGAGTTTTTGTCTCTTCATGCCCTCAAGAGGCATTTTGTTTAATATTTTTTCTTAATTCTTTTTAATTTGTCAATGTAGGAGAGGTTTTCCTACGTTTTTCATGAAATATGATGTCCAAGGAGTGTAGGGTTTGGGAATTATGGCAAGTTTAAAAAAAAAATGTGGCCGAATTTCAAGCACTCCTCCACATACTCTACGCACTCTAGACATAACGAGCAACACGTTCTCACTCCCAACCCGTCACATGTTGACGGTCGGTCAGGGCCCCTCCCCGTCACTCTATTACGTACAGGGTACCCCTTGAGTCAGTTGTCAACGGGCAGGGCGTCTCATAGACCTTCATAGACCTCCCACAGCGTTGATAATAGACGCCATGAGAACGCTCCCCGACGGTCGGTTGTTATTGTCAATATTAATATAAAAATTATTTATTTTGTAATAGTCACACTCGATTTCGCCGATGTTCTTGTTGCCCCAGCTGGTCGACACCTCTTTTAGCAGAAACAAAGGCTACATTAATGTATTAAATTGATGTTAATCCATGTGTGTGGTTGTGGAATTAATGGACGTGCTGTTGTGCGATTGCGTTGCCAGGCACACTTTACACACTACTTCAACCCTAATTATATTTAAAAACATTTTAGAAGGCCTCACGAAATACTTCAATGTAAATTAAAATGTAAATGTGAAGGGATGTGTGTAATGTGGTGATTGACATTATTCACCCACGGATCTATGGGTATTGTTCCGCACGGACATTTTAGTTAACCAGACTTCCTGTTGGTGTGAAATCCGAAAACATTTAAAAAAATAAAAATAAAATAATACTTTATTCCAAGTTTGCTTCCTTTTCTCTTTGGAGGTCATCACATAACGGCATTGTAATACACGGTTCGGCTGCATTAAATATTACATATCTGCCGTAGTTCTTTATTTATAGAGCCCTGATCAGAAGACTTCTAGACAAACAGGAAGAACTGCCGCCTAAACTAAATATGTGACGTGGATCATAAATATATCAGCAATTAAACAAAATCTTCAATTTCTCTTCACAATATAAGTCTCCTTGCAGTATCAATACTAATTCGGCTGACTTTTATATTTGATCCAATCGGTATATTGGTATATTTACACCATAACGGTGCACAGCTGATAGAAAGGGACACCTGGTGGTTAAAGCATGTTATTGAAATGTATTATTTTTATTATTAGATATTAATAGGAGACACAGACAGACAAACTAATAAGGCTTTATTTAAACATTAAAGAATACTTTAGGTTAAGGTCTTATTTTGAATAAGAAAAAGCTTTGGGGGTATAAATATTAAGCCTGACAAAGTACTAATATATTGCTTTCCTGCAATGTTAACTACTGTATGTTTAAGCACTTATTTTAACTGATATTATACACATGTATTATACTCTTATAAGATGTATGTAGATAGTATAAGAAATGTGCAGAATAGGACAGTTTAATGGTGGAGGTACACACATATTGATAGATGTCTTGTAATGCACTGTTGAGGAACCTGCGACCCAAGTTTTTCATCTCCGACCTTGTCAGGTATTGAACATTCAATAAATAAAGAACACAGAATTATTAAATATAAAACACAGAATTTGTGTGATTATACTAAATGATTTACAAATAAACACCACTGCATATTTACAACTGTTACACATGCTGATGTAACGCAAATGTTTCCAACTTGCGATCAATAAAGTATATCTTATCTTAAGATGATCGATGGCTACTGCCATATTTGCAAAATTTGCCTCTGAACCTTGACAAGTGCATGTTTCAGGCTTATCAATGAACAACAGGAGGGGTCACAGACATAAGACCAGCTGTTAAATAAAGCTCTTCTGACCTTAGCTGGCATGTGGGTATATATTAATGCTGCCCGTTATGGGCACAAGCAATTTTCACCCATTTATTAATTACATGTTTTAAATTTGAGTGTTTCCTATCCCCTAAACCTCCAGGGATGTACACAGTTTAATACTGGCAACTTCTTATTATGGGAAATACGAAAACATCTTTTAAAACTACAACTCCCAGTAGAGACGTGCCATAGAACATGTTGCAAAACACACAATAGTGTGTAGTTACTACACAGTTACTACATGTGTAGTTCTGGGGTGGGGGAGGGGGGGACGGGGTGGAGCCATTAAAATCCAGTTTTGGACAGTCTGCCGTGGTTCCATCCCATTTCAAGTGCTGTTCGACGCTCGCCGTAACCCTCGGCGCACACTCAAACATCCAATCAGAGCTTGAGGACTATCACAGGGCTTGTCAAGCGAAGAGGAGAGAATACTTACTTCCGGGTGTAAAATTCTCTAAAGCAACTACTATGAGCTGCTCCGACCCTCTGTCCTGACGGACTCCAACTTGTGTTTATTAATCAAACAAATAAATACACACAAGGATAATTATGTGTTATTGTTGAGTAAATAACAGTGTGTGGTTTAGAAAATAATACAAAATTAGAAGGAAAAAATGATGAAACAATACAGATTTCAGTATTCTGAGTCCCTACTCTCCCCATAACTGACGGCAACAAAAGTCCTATATTATTCAATTAAAATAAAGAAGTAAAAACAATCAGTGTGGCTTGATATTGAGTAAGAAAAAGGTTGATAAACGCTGTGAGAATGAATCTGCGGAGAGCATTTCACCGCCATTTTGCTGCGATCCCAACGTGTCTATTACAAGCCCCCAGGAAGTGCGCCGGACTGAGATGAAAATATTCGTGGTGGCCAAACGGCGGTACTACACTTCCGTTTGGTTGCCAGGCCCGGAAACACTTTTTCCCATTGACTTACATGGGGAAAGAGTGGTCTGTAAATCGTTGGATAATTTTTTTTAAACTACCCAGTATGAACACTTGTATAGCCCTTATTAAAAACATTCGTTCCTCAAGTTGTAATAATGTCCTAATAACGTTATTCTGAGAGTTATTTCCCTCTGCATTATGAACGTGCATCTAACCCACGGGACCGCGCCGCCCGGCAAGTTCATGTTACGTGTTCAGCACTACATGCGTTTATCTTTACCCATGGATGCACAATAAGAACAGACCATATCGCCTTACTGCCAGCCCACGGAGCTGTAATAATGGATATATTGCACATGTTTGCTGTAATTCATCATTTGTAAAATATTATACTACATGGGCTGTATGATTAAATCTTGTACCGTAAATGTTGTATTAAATAAAGTTAATATTACCGACGTTAGATTAACGTCCCTGTAGCTTCTTATTGCACTAAGAAGCTTATTGCACTGTATATATATATATATACATTGCAATAATTCTTTCATGCTAAATGAAGCTCTGTTGGATATCACTAGATCCTGTTACAGCGTAATATAAAAGTACATAACGATTGATGTTTAAATTAGCATAATTACTAGCTATCCGCTAGCTGCTAACTGCCGCCTGGTTAATATCAAATCCATCATAATAACAAATCATTACCATGCTGTCATGAACGTGCGGTGCTGTTACGTGTACGCAAATTGACGTGCTTGATGTGAACCAGCATTTTGGTTAAAGTTGCCCATGCGCTATGAGTGCACATACAGGTACTTCTCAGGCATGCTGGGTAATCTGTGACGTTTCACTCTCTCAAAAGTTGGGCCATTTTATCATCATGCGCCAATGAGCAGCTCTCATAGGAATGAATGAGGCCCCGCCTCCCACGCTGTATCCAGTTCTTATTATACATCCATGGTCTATTACCAACGTTCAGGGAGCTCTATGCAAGTCAATGGGACGCCCTGCCCGTTGCCCTGTACGTAATAAAGTGACGGGGAGGGGCCCTGACCGTCCGTCAACATGTGACGGGTTGGGAGTGAGAACGTGTTGCAACGAGCTGCGCAATACACACTAATGTTAAAATCTGAAGAAGGCCTCTTTACCAAGCTCCAAACTAAGTTAAATATCTCAAAAAGTGTTTAATATATTATAAATCCGAAGAACAAGTTTTATAGCTGAAGGTCTTGTGTTCATTTTAAAGTTGGAATAAAGTCTCTAGCTGAAAGTATGTGGAAGGAGTAGCATTTGGCGTAAGGTGTAGGTAAAAGAGGATTTGAAGGTTCCTCCCACGTTAAAAAAAGAGTTTAAAAAGCTGAATATTTCAAAAAGTATAAAATGTTTTGAAAAAGTTGAAAGTTTCCCATCATGTGCTGAAAAAGCTGAACATTTAAATATTTGAATGGTTTCTGTAGCTGAAAGTATGCTGAAGTTATTCAATGGCAAAATATTGGTTGAAATAAGAGGAAGAATAAAGATTTGAAGAACTATAGTGGAATGTTGTTGCACAGCATAAATATAACCAAGTGTTAAATCAGACTTTAGTTCCACCTGGAGTAAATCCACCAGCTACCCTGCAGTATACAAAGTCATTCAAACTAGCTGCACCTTTACCAGCTTTGAGAACACTTTCATGATCAATCATTATAAAACATATCATATACTGTATATTATTCTGAGATGGACAATGACTACTTTTGGTACTTTTTATATTTAAATATTTAAATATTTATATATATGTTTGTGTGTATGTGTGTGTGTGTTAGACCCACTATGGTTCAGCGTCAGCTCTGCTCTCTGGAGCAGCTGAGGATCTCAGAGTTTGGCCGTCCTTCTCCACGACATGGCCTTCAGCTCCTGTTCTGGTTTGCCAACCACTGTGTGACCTGTGAGGTTATTAACTTTGTGCTCATCATGAAGGTAAGAATAGATTAGATAACACGTTAAACTGTAAGCCATTTTTATGCACCATTATACTTCATAGCAAATTCAAAACCTTCTTGTAATAAACCTGATTCAGATTCAGACATTTTGGCTCTGATTAACCTTGTAGTATGTTAATTATTCCTATTGTTCTCTTGTTATATGCGTTTTTAATCTGTAATAAGCAATTTAGCTGTAGTACACATATTGTTTAACCATTTCAGAAATAATAATATTGATTGTCATTGCCTGTAGTATATTCCACTCTGCTCATACAGTACTAGTCCCCAGCAAGGCTACAATTTAATTTAAGAGAATATATGGCTAATGTTACAGCAGTAATATTGTTCATTTCTAATTAAATGAATGTGTAGACTTTATGTACCTAAAGTGACCAGAGTGTGTTACTACAGCTGGTGTCAGACTGTCAACCAGAGAGAGGTATCTACGGATTCCACCTGTTTGGCAATATGGAGGAACTTCTGCCTGTCCTGAACAGAAGGTGCAAGAGTAAGAGACAGGTGAGTGATGTAGTTGTTTTTTGTTTGTACAAAAGGCACTTCAACAAGTTTACTCAAACTTGTATAGTTTTTGTGAAAACTGGCATATAATGTGTTCTGTGCTTCTGGAGGAGGCAAATTCATTTAAATTGATCTTTCTTTCATTAACTAAGTTTGTGTCAGGATTGAGCATGGCAGGTAGGACCCTACAAGTTTTGAACTCAACACTTTTAAGTTCAATACTTTTAAGTTCAATACTTTTAATCCCTATCTGATCAGATCAGATTTGGATTTTGGGGAGTTCAAAACCAAAAAACAGGATTAGGATCACTTTGATATCCCATCAGGAAATCCAATCCAAGCTTTAATCTGTATCAAATCTTCAAAACGGGTAGTTCAAACAGACAACACAGGATTGGGATCAGTTTGATCCCAAAAAACTGGATTATCCTGATCCCACCAGAGGGGTGGATTTCCAGTGGATTACCAGAGCAAAATGTACTGTACCATTTATTTAAAAATATGTTTCAATATAAATAAGATGGCAAAGTTTGCTAACTGAAATAATACACAATTTTTAGCCTTCATGGGAAATACATTTTATTTTTCATTTTTTGCTCACGTTTGTGGTGGCCTATTTTGTTTTCAACCAAATGTTGATGACATAAATGTTTATGCTCATGAAAGTATCACAACAAAGATTGTCATTCACAAATGTAATTTAGATTAAATTAAAAATATCTTCAACAAAAAAAAGTCCATCATCTGTCATAACCTTTCAGAAGTAATTGCGGACAATAGATGTCTCTGCAATCTGGTCTCTTGTCTTCCTTGTATTATTTTTTATGTCCACTAGATGGCGATCTGTAGGATTAAAGCACTGATATTCAGGATCTAGTCATCTTGAAAAGTCGTAATCTCGATCAGGGTGATCCTATCCTGAATTGCTTTGAACTCCAGGGACAAAATGTGTCCGACTTGTCTGATCCTGGATCACAACAAATGGGATTTCAAAATCTGATCGGATCTGATTGAGATTAAAAGTGTTGAACTCCTGGGCCCTGGGGATGCATGCAGAGCTGTCATTGGCTGAGATAAATCCGGCCGTGCGTCACGACTCTTTGAAACATCACTGTTGCCGGAAATACATCAGCTGAGGATCCAGGACCCATCAGTGTCTCCTCGGTTAGAGCTCCTCCAGAGAGCCTCCTCGATGCTCGGTGCTCGGTCCTCAATGTGCATTTAGAGAAATGAGATGTCCTTCAACATGGCGCGCTGAAATCCATTTCAGGGTCGCTACCGGAGGACCGAGGACTCGAGGAGGGGAAATTAGTGAAATGAGAAACCTTCAGAATTTGCACCATCTTATGTCTCAGATCGTCCCTTTCAGGACCCCGCCCTCCCAGGCCCCTGCACTAACCCTGACCTTCCGGGCCCCTGCACTAACTACGCGCTGCCAGCTCCCAGCACTAACTACGCCCTGCCAGGCCCCTGCACTAACCCTGCCCTTCCGGACCCCGGCACTAGCCCCGCCCTTCAGGGCCCCTGCACTAACCCAGTCCTTCCGGGCCCCGGCACTAGCCCCGCCCTTCAGGGCCCCTGTACTAACCCCGCCCTGCCAGACCCCTGCACTAACTACGCCCTGCCAGGGCCCAGCACTAACTACGCCGTGCCAGGCCCCTGCACTAACTACGCCGTTCCAGGGCCCAGCACTAACTATGCCCTGCCAGGCCCCAGCAAGCCAGCCCTGCTGATTAGCACCATCAGCACCATCTCACCCTTGCATAGTAGGCCTAATGCCAGTTCCACCCACCAATCAACTCCAGGACATTTAGCCATATCCAAAGCTGGTCCAAGCAAACAAGCCCGCACGACTTCCCGTGGATATGTTTATGGAACTCCCCTTGCCACCAAAGGACAATCAACAGGAAGGATGGTTCCAGGCACATAACATAACTCTGTTGCGAGCATATGAAACCGTCTCAAAGTCCTCCAGGCTCAGACAGACCCGAGACCAGCAGAGGTATAACAAAAAGAGGATTGTTCTACCACTACTGCCTTGAGATTGGTGAGAAACTTCCACTGGCCCCCAGATGGGTACGAGAACCATTTGTTGTCATATCCAGTCTTTCTCCAGATATCCCTGCATACAAGATCCGACTTGAAGGTTGTGACGGCCCAGTTAGGACAATCCACCGCAACCACCTAAGACCTTGTCCAGATTCACTTCTGTCTCCAACAAGGCCTAATACCCCACATGAACGTCAACAGGAGATTCAGGTGAACACATTTTCCCTTCTGCTTCCATGCAGGCCACAGTGGAGTGGCAGACGAGACAAGGACCTGATGTGGGCGTTTCAGACGGCACACAGGCTTGTGAAAAGGATCAACTGTTGGAAGAATGGGCTGTCGGATCGAACGCTGTTAACAAGATCACCAAGCGCATCAGCAATCCAGCACTGCCTTCTCAACCAAGAAGAGTGTCCTGGTAACTGGAGTCTCTCTCGCTCTCTGTGTGTCTCTCTCTGTGTGTGTCTCTCTCTCTGTGTGTGTCTCTTTCTCTGTGTGTGTCTCTCTCTCTCTTTGTGTGTGTGTGTGTATGTGTGTGTGTGTGTGTGTGTGTGTGTGTGTGTGTGTGTGTGTGTGTGTGTGTGTGTGTGTGTGTGTGTGTGTGTGTGTGTGGTGTGTGTGTGTGTGTGTGTGTGGTGTGTGTGTGTGTGGTGTGTGTGTGTGTGTGTGTGTGTGTGTGGTGTGTGTGTGTGTGTGTGTGTGTGGGGGTGTGTGTGTGTGTGTGTGTGTGTGTGTGTGTGTGTGTGTGTGTGTGTGTGGTGTGTGTGTGTGTGTGTGTGTGTGTGTGTGTGTGTGTGTGTGTGTGTGTGTGTGTGTGTGTGTGTGTGTGTGTGTGTGTGTGTGTGTGTGTGTGTGTGTGTGTGTGTGTTAACCGGATTGCTCGATGCAGACAGTGAAACCTGGTACCCCTGCCTTCTGGCAGCTGGTGTCAATGTAGTTATGAGACAGGAAGTAACTGGTCTTACAATCACAGTGAAGAAAACCTTCCCTTCCACATTGAGTAGAGCGATGCCTTTAGACTCCAAGATGTATTTTCTTTTGTGTTAAAGGTAGTTGCAACTCTGCTCCATGCTAATGGGATGCATTGGGTCTTCCAGGCAACTATCACCAGATTAGCTTCAGCACCATTTGGCAGTTCTTATAAACCTTGTATGGTACACTTTGGTGGTGCAGTGTCGAATTGGCAAGCAGGTTCCTGGACCCAGAGAGCCATTCAGGCCATCCTGTTCTCAGAAGAAACCGCCTTTCCTTCACCAACTAAATAATGTCTGTCTTTTGTGCATGGGGTTATTCTTTTCTGGGTCACCTTCCAAAGTTCTCCTTGCCTTATTCACAGACTATGCTGCCAAAGAGGTTGAGTTTAGAGTGCTGCCTGCTAGGGTGTGCTGGAGGATGGGGTGTAAGCTCTGCTCAAAGCCATGCCTTCTTGCCACTCGTGCTGGCCACTTAACTTTGGCTTTACGGGATGGCTTCTCCTTTGGTGTTACACCTCTTGTGAGTTTGCTGCTTGCAAGCACACTATGATGACTCAGTTGAGGGCTCTGCACCTGCTGGTGGTGGTGCACTTCCTGCTGGGTAACCTGGTGTAAGTCTTCTATCTCACCATCTGCAATTGTGGGCTTAGCAGCAATGTTGTTGTTGTTGGCACCAGGGAGCCTAAGCATTTAAGGGTTGCAACAATTCACCCCTCCTCCATCTCTGGAATGATCGTAACAGCTTGTAAATCTGCGTCTATCATCCTGGCATCTACTGTTCCTGCTGACCGATACTGTAGCAGGAACTACACATTTAAAGTTGCGGCTGGTGTTATCCCATCACAAAATCTGCTCTATAGATTTGTTTCTCTCACACAATTCTTGAAGTACAATACTAAAGAGTTAGAGCAACCCTTTATTTGGATTCTTTTTTTATCTAAATGGTTGTTCATGTACCACAACTCTTGAGTAATTATTCTCTTCAAGCCATACATCCATCTATACTCGATGCAACAGTCCACTAGCCTGCCTTTATTCTACCAGCCATCTGATTCAAATGCAGCTGTTAATTCTGTTTCCCTCTATCTCTGTCTCTCTCTAGGTGTTGTACTTTGAAGTTGGCAACCTGAACACAGATACGTACCCAGGGTCTGCCAACCTCCCCACATATGTGAGGGAAAATTATGTTTTGGAAGCTAACATTGGTGATATCAATCTAGATCGCATTATCGTCAGTTACCAGTTGCGAACCAGGGTGGTAGAGAGAGTGTATGTCACGGAGCATGACAGAGCTACCTTCGGGAGGTTCAGCACTGACAGGACTTTTGAAATCCACCCTGAACTGATTCAAGCCCTGCAGAGCCCACAGGCAGACCTCACCACCTTTCTCTCCCGGACAGACTACTGGGGAGATATACAGGTGGTTCAAGCAAATGATATAGAAGAGATGTACTACCCAGAACCTTCATCCCAGCAAATGTTCAACATAATGCAGAACTACAGTGGATCCACAGCGAGAGCAGAGCGTCTGGGATTATCTACATGTGAGCAAGGTCTCAATACAATTGAATATTAAAACCAGGGGACATTAAGTCTATTATTGTAGTTGTATATGTGCATGTTATTGTTTTACTTTGCCCATGTTTTCATATAGGAAATAAATATATATATATATATATATATATATATAAATGAATGCTGCTTGACGTTATGTGAATTTCTATTTCTAGATGTTGATTCAGTCAAGAAGAAAAAAGAAGGTGGTGGCGTCAGCTTTGTCAAGATTCTCCTCAGTGCTGGAATGCTCTACTTGGCAGCCAAATGTTTCGGCTGGCTGAGGAGCTGGTGGAGGCTGGGCCCAGATGAAAACACTCTCCGGAAAATGCTATCACACCATCATGTCATGCTGGATTATGTGTACTAGGAATTTAGGGTAAAGCATGTATTAGAGCACTGTACCATGAACAAGTCTCCTCAGTCAGAAGCAACACAACTCTTTCTGACACTTTATTAATATGCCTTGTCATATGTATTTTAGACAGTACATGTCACATTCTATAGGAGGAATCTATAGCCATTCCAATTGTAAATGAAGTCAACATTTGAATGTATTAGGCCCATCATCGACGTTGGCGTTGCCCTCGATTTAGCAGCAAAGATGTATTAGTTTTTATACAGATTTATTGAGATGCCGATTTCATTTTCCAGCAGGACTTGGCCCCTGCCCACACTGCCAAAAATACCAATGCCTGGTTTAGTGACCATGGAATTACTGTGCTTGATTGGCCAGCAAACTCCCCTGACCTGAACCCTATAGAGAATCTATACCCTTTCACACCAACACGGTTCCAGGGCCGGTTCGGAGCTGGAGCTTGAAAAGCACAGTTTCTTTCCTGCTCACACCGCAGCGGAGCCGCCTCTAAGCTCTGGAATCCGGTTCGTTTCAAGCACCAAACATGTTCTAGAAAGCAAGCACCGCATACGCATACGTCACGTTTATGTCGGAGGGGGGCGAGATTAACCTGAGCTAACAGTTAAAGGCGAGTACGGCAAATAAAAGTTGTAACAAGCAGTAGCGCTGAGCAAAGTGACTAGAACGCAACCACACACTTTATAAAGTCAGGCAACACTAACCAGGCTTCTTGTGATTCTGTTTATTTGCGCCTTACTTTGACCATCCGTTCGCTGTTATTGATCATTGTGGAGAGAGGCAGACGTTTTGTTTTGTATTATAGCAGCTATCGGATGGAATCAATACATGGGCTGCACAGGTTGTCATGTCCGACAATCACAAGTAGAATCATAATGAAAAATACGCCAGTAAAATGTGCCTGTAGAAAATTGCTTATGGCACAATAGGATAGCAACAACAAGTAGTCAAGATAGTCAGTTTAGCTTCGGTTGCTATGCTAACATCACCCATTTTATACCAGAGAAACTTTCATATCAGCGTTGTGATGCCAAACAGCGTCAATTCAGACTGACACACATTCACTTAAGGGGAACTGGGGATATGTGTCAGCTGCTTGTGTGACAGTCAGACAGTGAATACTTTAGAGCGGCCGCTGCAGTGTGAGCTAACCCGGAACTAACGGGAGAATAAACTCCGGTGGAAGAGCAGCACTGCAGCGGTCGGTAAATGCCGTAGTAACACATTAATAAACAATGAACCACGGCACTCTGGAGAAAAGTATAAGGTTGGAGAAGTCGTTATTTAATTTAATCTGGCTTCGTATGATTAAAAGCAACACGATCATCAACCCGACGCAGTCCCTCATTGTTGTTGTAGTGAGCGCCGTTGGGGAGGAAATCAGCGACGTAAACGGTGACGTCATGACGCAGCAGCGGCAGCATCAGTCGGGCTCTGGGCGGTGTGAACAGAGCGGGAGCTGAACCGAAGAACCGGTTCTGAACCAGAAAAGCTCTAGCACAGAGCTAGAACGGGAAAAGCGCTGGTGTGAAAGGGGTATATGGGGTATTGTCAAGAGGAAGATGAGAGACACGAGACCCAACAACGCAGATTTCTGTATTAAAAATCTGTTTTTGTATTGGTGTAATATTTAAATGTTCGGAGAAACTGAATTTTGGGTTTTCATTAGCTGTAAACCGTAATCCTTAAGATTAAAACAAATAAATGCTGAAAATAATTCACTTTGTGTGTAATGAATCTATAATATATGAGTTTCACCTTTGAAATTGAATTACTGAAATCAACAAACTTTTTTACGATATTCTAATTTATTGAGAATAACCATGAAGTCCCTGAAATACATGAAGTCCCTGAAATACACCCTGCGATCGCAGTTTCAAATCCTGCTGGTTCCTGTGTATGGCTGCGATAACAATGTGAAGAATAGCCGACCTACAGTATGTAAAACCAATAATCTGATCTTTAAAAGTTGTATTAGGTGTATTATATTATTGTAGATAATGTTTTATAGGTAAAATACCTACATTCAAAATATTACTTTAGTAAAAGTACTGAGGTATTAGAATCAAAATATACTTAAAGTACCAAAATACTCATTCAACACACTAGGCCATTTCAAAAAATGATAAGTTATATTATTCAACTGATTTACTCATGTGTTCATCCCTTTATTGCAGCATCAGCTGGTAAAGGTGGAGCTAATTTATTATTGCACTGCTAGGTAGGTTGTGAATATCTTTAAAGGTCCATGTCATGCTTTTCTGGTTATTGATTGGCTAGAGCTTGTACTGGCATATGATTCGATTGGCTGACGCTTCTACCGAGGCTTCAAAAGTTGAACATTGCTCAACTTTTGCAGCGAGCCACGCCAGAAAAGCTCCGCTTCGCTTCCCACAATGCAGTTCGGCGAAAAGTGACGTCACCCCATTCAAAGTGAATGGTGAAGCGTCAACGCACGCCGCCGTGTGGACGGGCCAGAGATGCCATTTTAAAATACACGATTTGACTGGTTTATGTTGCCCTTACCTAAAATGCAGCTCGCTGACTGGTATTTTCAATCTTTATTCCAGACTCAAGGTCCATATCACAAAAAGACAAAACACACATCAATAAATAAGATAAAAAGCTAAACACAAAACAGATAAAAACATAAAATCAGTCCAATCACAGCTACATGCTCACTGTCTGTATAGGCTATTGCGCCAATGTCTCTTTGTCATCTGTGAGATCATCAGAAATATAATGACCAAGGTACTTCATCTCACTGCACACAAGTAGAATGTTGCTACTGAGAATAACATTAGGAAATACAGCCTTCTTATCCTCTTTACTTCGCACAATCATGATGCTACTCTTCTTGGCGTTATACTTAATATTCAAATCAATGCCATACTGGCAGGGGCGGATCTACCGGGGTGGCATGGGGTGGCAACTGCCACCCTAAACAATAGCCTTGCCACCCCAGCTGCCACCCCAGTTGGCATCTTTGTTTTGAAAGAAAAGTTGTGGCTCATCGGACATTTATGAGAGAAAGTCTCTAATGTCCGAGTGCAAGTGAATATGCACGTCATGTAACCCCTCCCCCGGTCCTGGCGCGAGAGTGGAAATATGATTGGTGGCGAATTCACTTGAACCGGGGGACGGCGCAAAACGAGAAGCCTTTCGGACCCAAGCACTGAAGGAATGAGGTATTTGCGGTCTACACTGACAGAGAAGAGACTGTCAAGTTTGGCTGTACTCAGCATTGAATCAAAACGCACTACAGCTGTTGATCTTAATAAGTTTGTGAGGCGTTTTGCTGAACAAAATAGTAATCGCCGCATTCAGCTGTAATAGACATGCCAACTTGATGCTCTGCTCACGGATGACTCGATGAGAATAACAAACTGTTAAGATGATGACCTTGTATGCGTGTATATATTTTTTTCTTTGTGGGGGTCTGCCCCCAAAAAACAGTTTTAAGTCCTGAGAAAGTAACATAAGACGGTGTGTAAAACTACACTGCCCAGCCAACAGAAAGTAACCACTTTGATTTAACTAGGCCAGTAGGTAAGGACCTTCCACTGGATAATAACTGCAGCGATGTTTTAGCTGAATACACGTTTTTTTAACCCTAACTGATGCAGTTAGTCACTTCTTTAATGTTTGTTCTTTCTGATGTAAAGTCAAGGTTGTAACTGTATATCAATAATGATATAATTACTTGTTTTTCAAATTTGAAGGAGGGTGAGCAAGCATCTTGATGAACATTCATCATTAACTCCTCCAAAAAAATATAGTTTATTCAATAATAAATGAATATGTGAATCATAACAGTTCTTCACTATATCTGTAAAGCGTCTTTGAGCACCTGTAAAAGCGCTAACAAATTAAATCTATTATTATTATTATTTATTAACAGTGATTGACAGCTGATAGGAATAATATGATTGTTAATATTATCATATTCATTCAGACAAACAACGATGAGACAGTTAATTAATGTACTTATTGCAGCAGTCTGCATAGATTTGGTTCCCCTGCTGGTCTAAGAGTGAGACAAACTCATTCAGTTATTGTTCAGTTAAAATTCATTAAATTACGTCTGCCACCTTATATGTAAGGCTTTACTGATGTGCCACAATAATATCACCTATGTGATTGAGTTAAAATATTAATATTGTGGCTTTCCAAGTTAACATTGATTGTAGGAGTGTAACGGTTCACAAACATTTTGGTTCGGTACGTACCTCGTTTTTAGGTCACGGTTCGGTTCGGTACGTTTTCGGTACAGCAGAAAAAATTATCACAAAACATTAAATATTTGTTTTTAATTATTATTAAACTGATTAATGTATTCAAATAAATACAAAATATAGTAAAATAAACATTAATGTGCAGCATTTCGATGAACTGAAATAATCTGTATTTGAACTGTACTGTACCTAAGCAGCCAGCTTGACATTAGGACTTGCTTTTCATGTTGTTCTAAAGAAAGATGAACTTGTCCACATTGCTTGCTGAAATGGCAGATCTGCTGGCACTAACAATGTCTCCTGCTGTGGAGAACACCCTCTCTAGGGACAGAGGTAGCAGACACAGCCAGGTAGCGCTTTGCTAACATGGCAAAATAAGGATACTTGGCGTTTGTAATAGCTTTGGCTCGGTCTGAACTTTCTGCGAGTGGTGGAGGCTTAAATGCTAGTGGGAGTTGGGTTTGCAATTCAGTCTTTTTTTCTTTTGGTACCGGTGATATTCACGTTCGGTGATGCCTTTTCAAATGAGTGTGATGTATTGCCAGCCGCGTAACCAATGTTAGTTGAACAATGTCGACAAACAGCGTTGGTTCGGTCCACCTGTCTTTGTCCGTCATCCTTGTACGTAACTGCAAAACCAAAATGTTCCCAAACCGGAGACTTCAATGATGCTGGAGGATTTTCAGCTCAACTTTATCTGCGTTCGCCATTTCGACAGTTCCTCAAATTACTGACTACATTTGAACGCATCCCTGTGACCAGCTCTCATAGTATGCCTCTCTTCGCTCTATGATATATACCTGAGATTACTTCCAGAAAGTTGTTCTAAATTTTTTACGTTTAACACTATATTCGTTCGGTACACACGTGTACCGAACCGAAGGGCCCGTACCGAATAATTTCAGTACGGGTACGTGTACCGTTACACCCCTAATTGATTGATATGATTGCGATTTCAATCAGCATATACTTCTATCAGGGGATGCCACCCCTCAAAATATCCTGCCACCCTCTTGCCACCCCATGAATATTTGTCTAGATCCGCCCCTGCATACTGGGAACAAATCCTCAGAAGCATATCCGAGTGGTTGGTTTGAGATCAGGGTTAAATCCGTGTGGCTATCCTACCCCTCTTCCTTTCCCTCTGTTTCTAGCATAGCGCGTGACACACACGACATTGTAGGCTATGGAGGAATACAAATTACTTGCTGAAATACATGAATATTTAAATTCACTAATTCATTGAAGATTGATTTAGTGATTGTTTTATTGAAATAGATGTTTGAATTAATTTGTTCATTTTAATAATTGAAGTATAATTTACTCATGTAATTTGTTTAGGTTTTATTCATGTACGTATTTGTTCCTGATTGAGTGATTTTTCGCCCTTTTGAATAAATGTTAACTTTATTTTAGGAAGTGTTTCTCATCAGATATTTTAAGAAATAAAAAACTAATGCAACATTTGCAAAGTTTATGGCGTTAACCAATATATTTGTTATTATTAATGTATCCAGTGCATTCATTGTAAAAAAAATAATGTGTGTGTGTTTATTTATTTTAGGATTTATTCATGTTAGTATTGATTTAATCATTCTTGAAATGTGTTGTACAAAAAGATAATTGCTCTTTTGTTAAATAGGTGTTTGTGTTACACAGGATAACAAATTAAATGTAAAATGTCGACATGCGTCCATGACTGTAACCTCTCTGTCGCTAATGTTGAATAAGTGAAACAGTGAAATGACCGAAGACACTTGGGCTGTTTGTTGGAGCTTCAGTATATCAGCCGGAGACACTACGTACTCCAACCACTAGATGGAGGCTAATTTACAGTGTGGTCTGATCATCTCAAGTCAAACAGAGAGGAGGGCGAGAGCAGAGAGCACCAGAGAGAGCAGAGTCTGAGAGAGATCACTGATCATGGGGATGCTCAGGACATCAGTGGCCATTCTTCTTCACGTGGCTGCTTCTTTGGCGGTAAGAAACACAAGCTCACTTCCACTTTATCTCACAAGATACTATTCTAATCATTCCACGCATATAGTTTTTCTTTTACATGTGCAGCTTTTAGGATATGTATTTATTAACACAAAATAGGTGATTGGAATGACTTTTTTGGTGGTTATTTACAAATCCACACTGCTCCTCCTGCTTTGGTGAAGCAGGTCCTATGCAAACCTGCTCATATTGAAAAACATGGTAGTCATTTTTCAAATTGAAATCAATACCTGAAAACCAAACAGTCATCGAAGGACTGTGTATCTTCACTGTTTACCATTCCTTGTGTTTGGTTCTGTGACATTTGATCTTGATAGTTACGCAGGCTGCTTATTGTACTTAAACATGTTTGAGTGTGGTTCCTGGTCAAATAGAACATGCCTCTATTACAGTGCAGTTCTGACTATGAATCTTTGAGTGTCAGCAACAACCTCTGCCTTTTTGGGGATTTGCATTGTTTTCCCCTCAGCTCTTTGTTCATCAGTAAAACTGTCAAGTAGACCCACTTCTCTTTCCGGAGCCATTCAATTGGATTGTTGAAGGTTGCATACAAACTCAACAGTAAATGAAACATTATGCATTTCATCTTTTCACATGCTGTTTGCATCCAGAAATAAGTAAGTATGAGCGAGTTGTTGGTTCTGACTGTTTGTATCCTACCCACTGTTAAAAATCCATCTTAGCCCATGTGTAGCGGTGACTAATGGTGTCCTTCTGGCTCTGTCCAGGCCCCGGTGCCGTGTGAAGAGAAGGTGGTTCATCTGGAAGAACAAATCCAAGGTCTGAAGACCCTGATCAGCGACCAGCATGGCTACATCCAGGCACTCCACAACAGCCAGGCCGGGCAGCTGGAGCTCATACCCAGCTCCCAACTGGGCCCGGAGAACCTCTTTAAAGGTGGGGAGAGATTTCCATGCATACACATACTTTGAATAAACTGTATCTGCCTTCACTTTCCTACAACGTGACAACCTAACTGCTTCTTTACCTACACAGCAAGTTAGTCACATTCTAGGTATCAACCCTCTTTACCATATGTCCAGCCTGAGTCTTTAGCTCGTGTTAAAGCCATGCTAATTAGTATCCTTTTATAATCAGTGGGTGAAATGACCAGTTGTATCGTTAAAAGGGGTTTCTTATATCGGAAACCCTTGAGAGAAGAACAGAGAAAAGGTTTATTGAGAACCAAAGAACACTGTTCCCCTGCTGGTTTGTAAACAGAAGACTGTCAGGTCTTGCGTGGAGTTCCTCTGCATACAAGTGTCATGTATTCATTCATAATAAATGTGCTGCTTACCAATCAGCAGTTAGCATTTTGTAGCTTAGTCATGGCCCTGCAGCTGCTCCACAGGAAAAAACGTCACGCCGCTGAGATTCTCACAAACATTGTTTCTGTTTGCTTTTAATGTATCTCAAATATATTTAACTAACAGTTTGAATAGTTCACCTGGTGTGTATGTGTGTGTTCAGACTGCTCCGAGGTGTTTGCAGAGGGTAACATGGCCAGCGGGCTGTATGTGATCCGTCCACACGGCTCCCCCTCCTCACTCAGCGTCTACTGCGACATGAACAACGGGGGAGGGTGGACCGTCTTCCAGAGGAGGAGAGACGGCGAGGAGAGCTTTGACAGGTGTGTGTATGTCCTTTTTTACACAGAAATAGGAGTTCTACTCTGCATGTGTCAAATGATTTGGGATTGCAGGTCATTATATGAGCAGTGTTTGCCCTGTGTGAGCAGAGCGTGGGTGGAGTACAAGCACGGGTTTGGTGACCTCTACTCCCCTGATGGAGAATTCTGGCTGGGGAATGCAGCTCTACACAATCTCACCTCCACAGGTAGGTGTGTGTGTGTGTGTGTGTGTGTGTGTGTGTGTGTGTGTGTGTGTGTGTGTGTGTGTGTGTGTGTGTGTGTGTGTGTGTGTGTGTGTGTGTGTGTGTGTGTGTGTGTGTGTGTGTGTGATGGCTACCTGTGTAACTCTGTGTCTTCTAGGAAACCACGACCTGCGGATCGACATGCAGGACTTTGATGGTAACCAGCGCTATGCAGAGTATAAGAACTTCAAAGTTGATGACGAAAAGGTACAAAATAAAATAATGAGTATAAAAAAGTATAATAAAAGAAAAAGTCATTGCAACAAAAACGAAATCCTTTAACAGGAGTCCAGATTTGAAATGAGCAGAAAAGAGATCATTTGATTGTCGTTTGTTGAATTGAACAATAGAAGTCTTCAGACTGGATTGAATAAGTCAATCTGTTTGTGCTGTAACCTTCTCTGTCTCTTTCTGTCTCTCCTCGCCTTCCCTTTATTTCCCATAACACAGAGCTATTATTTAGACTAAGTGTGTTGTTTGTGTTTGATGATCTCTGCTATGGAAAACACAGCAAGGCCGTCTGGCTTCAGGCCAGCTGCTCTGCTTCTCTCCTTTCACCACTTTTCTTTCTCTTCCCTGTCAAACTTTTAGCCCGTATTGCTACTTGGTTTCTTTCTTCACTCTTATCTTTACCAATATAAAGCCTTTTACTCGCCTACTCTGAAGTCATTCCAAACCACCTAAGCCTCATCAGCTCTGCAGTCCACAGTATCATGTGTGACATTTCTTGCAGTCTTTTCTTTTGATAAATTAAATGTTTTGTATTTCTCTATTAAAAGTTGGTTCCTCATCGTAACGGCAAAACTCCCGATAAATGATGCTAAGACGTGGCTTATACTCTGACGCGCTGCAAGAAGAGTCCGTGCTGAAGTTGTGGTTGATCATTTAATAAAGCAAATAACATAAATAATCATCTTAGCAGGACCATATGGTCTCACCCTCTCTGTCACCCACACAAGCACGACAGGTGCACTGAACACCTGACACCACACCCATGTGATAACTGCCGGAAGTGACCAATACTACCTGTGTGCCGTTTAAACAGAAATGATAAGCTGTGGCAAAATAAGCATGTTGGCTCCTACGCTCCTATGACAGGGCTTTGTCTCCTGTGTTCCCTCAAAGGACCAGTACCAGTTACATGTGGGAGAGTACACTGGGAACGCTGGGGACGCCCTGGCTCATGTCCACAGCCCCCCCTCTGCCGGGAAGAAACGGACTGGTCCATTTCTTACAAAAGAACTCCCTGGGTCAAACGGGATCAACTTCAGCACCTATGACCAGATTAATAATGGAGACACGGAGAACCACACCAGTTGCATCAGACACAGCAGGTCCGGCTGGTGGTTCAGCAGGTAGGTCCGTCACTCAGTAGAACCACACACGCAAAGAGAGGAACAACAAGGGGGCAAAGGTCAAAATGACAATATACACACAGGTTATACAGAAGGTACTGCAGGTCTTCTTCTGTCTCTCCTCGCTGCAGGTGTGACTCAGGAAACCTGAACGGTCACTACAGAGGGCCGGACCAAGCCATGGCTGATGACGGGGTGGTTTGGTACACGTGGCACGGCTGGTGGTACTCTATCAAATCTGTGGTCATGATGGTACGAGCCGCTGACCTCGAGCCTCCGCCACAGGTCATTACCCCGTTACCAGGACGACAGACCAGCAGCTAAGCAAAGGGCGACATCATTGAAGATCGTCATGGCCGACTTCAACACTGAAAGCAAGAGAGGAGGTCTCCTACTGCAGCCCAACAGCTTCCTGAAATCCCTCACATCAAACATCATTCTATGTAATCTCTTTCAAGTCTTTCATCTAATGTTTGACTTGCATGTCAATTCTGCAATTATTTCAATATCCAAATAAAACAATGGTGCTTTTATCTCATATCCTTTTGTATTTATTTCATGTCCAAAATAAAACAACATGGTGAACTGAGGCATTTTAGGAACATCTGAGTTCCTAACACTTCTGCATATTTGGCTCTGGGATGATGTGTTAAGTCTCTGAACTGACAGCTCAGATCTAACATCCAAAGGTGGTTACATTCCACAAAGTGGTTTCAGGTAGAGGTTGTGAGGAGCTTACACAGAGGAACAGATCTAAAGGTCAGTTCCTCAGATCAACAGAAGGACGATACGTTGTTCAGAGCTCCAAAGCAGATGAGGGATTGAGTTTTGCTCTTTGTGAAAAAGGTCCTCTTTAAAAGAAGGGGAATAGGCAAAACAATCCATGCTAGTCCCCCACCAACCACCCAAACCACTCTGAGTCTGTTCCCACAAACCTCAAGAGGCTCAAGTCCAAGGTTTCTTCTCACCCGCCTCTCTAGAAAGAGCGGTATAAAATAACAGGATCCTAAATTGTACAACACATCAGAAAAAACATGGAAGGATAGTCATAACAAGAGTGAGGCGCCATGTACAGACCCTGAGGTGTGCCTGTTGTATGTTTTCTTCAGAAAAAGAAGAAAGGCTTGTTGGAGAACTAGGCATTTGGTAGAGAGCATGGCCATTCCACTGTCAGACATAAGTGCATCGGTGCCACTGCAATGTCTCCACGCTTTCAGAACAAGCGTCTTTTATGCAATTTGTTCCAAATGTACAAGTTTATCATTAATATCCAACAACATTGCTGTGATTGAAGTCCTTCCCTGTGTTTGGAACAGCTCTGTCTTGTCCAGGCTGGTGGAGCAGGAGGCTTGTTGTCGGGGTTATCAGGGCGATAAGGGTGCAGCTGTGGGGAAGGAGGCAGAGTTCCGAGGTGAGCCGAAGGGTGAGGTGGGGGAGAGGCGGCGGGGGCTGGCCAGCAGGTCTCCATTGTGCAGCTTCCAGAGCAGCTCCTCGTTCTCCATAGACAGACGCTTGTTGACCTTGGACTCCTTCTGCAGCGTCTGCTGGAGTTTGGCCTGTTCGCTGGAGAGCTGCCTGCAGGGGGAGACAGAGAGCTGATTCTATTATCTGTACAAACTGCTTTACCCAGGTGAACTGGGAAGTGTCCAAGGGCAAAGTCTCAAACAACAACTGAAGTACGAAGCATATAGACGTCTTTTTACAGTCATATTTAGTTTTATATTATTACAATATAAAGTATTTCATTTGATTCTACCGTAGAGTATTTCATTTTACATTCTGTTTTTGTCCCTTGCACCATTTTCCTTGACTTTTTTTATTTCTATTGACTTCTAAGTATATTCAGGGTTCTTACACCTTTTCCAAAGTCAAATTCAAGCACTTTTCAAGCATTTTCAAAGTGCATTTTCCAGCTTTTCAAGCATCTTACAGCTGTTGTAAATTACATATTTATATACACATACTCAAATGATTATTTCCCTACCTCACATTAAATCAGATGTTCTTTATGCTATAAACAACCAAATGTGTGTTTCGTGATAGCATTCTACACGAGGATGACAAATTAGAGAAAATAAGTTTAATATTTCAAAATGAGTGATCTGTACGTAGACTAGGCCTCCCATATAACCTGTCTGAGCCAATATAAAACAATCAGCCAAATAACTTTTCAATACATTATTGATTACTATTTTTGAGGTACTTTTAGGTTGGCAGTGAACATAAGTCAGAGGTAAATGGTGTACTTTTGCTCCACTACATGTATTTAATACCTTTAGTTACTTTACAGATCTGGATGAGTGATGTGAAATATAATCAAGTGTTAAATCAGACTTTAGTTCCACCTGGAGCAAATCCACAAGGTAATTTTGACTACTCAAGACACCTGACTTATACATCTTCAAAGGAAGACTGTGTTCATTCTACAATTACATGGGATTAAAGCAAAATGTAGTTTTACTTGTATAATACTTCAATTTTATATAAAAGACAGTTTGTTTTCATCTGATTTCAAATAAACAAAGTCTTGGCTTTCAGAATATTAAACTTGTTTCAGCAAATTCAGATGATAAATACAGCTTTGAAGCTTCGGCATAATTACAAGCAGAGAACGGACTAATCACTAATGTAACATCACAGCAAGCATAACAACAGCCGGTGTTTCTTATGAGTGTTTCCCCGGTACACAAACGCAAAAATACACACACACTCACACTCGCGAGCTTCCCCCAGACCAGTAATACAAACGAAAATGTGTCTTCGGGTCAATGTGACTGATTTCGATAGAGCAAGTCACATTTGGTTTAGGCACGAAACATACTACCAGTAGAAATGCATTGCTTTCAAAATCGCTATATGTCGAATCAATAGATTATATTTCGTGACTATAACACGAAATGCCGTGAGTGCTTCATCCTCTGAACACTAGTGATGGGAATTCCGGCTCTTCTTGGTGAGCCGGATCATTTGGCTCGGCTCACCAAGAAGAGCCGGCTCTTTCGGCTCCCAAACGGCTCTTCAGTTTACCACTTATTATACCTTTTAATTAAATCAAATGTAGCCCTGTTTTGACTAATGATTTATATGTGTACACATATATCACTTAAATTATTCAATACATCCTTTGTACTGAAGTATTCAAAAGTAAAAATTACATGATTAATATAAATGATTTGCTGTGGCCAATTGTTTTCATTGCATTTACAGACCCGTGCAACTCTCTGATACCACCCAATGAATGCATTGACTTGCTTGTGGAACCACGCTACACAAAACAGATAGCAACACCTATAAAACTATTTAAAAGAAAAGGGGCTACTGTATCGACCTATATAAAAGTATATAAATATAGTTTTTTTATATAAAAAAATATAGAAGACTATATAGACCAAAAAGATCCTGCATTTTAGCCATGCCTCATTTCGCTCTATTTGCTCCTTCCAGCGCTGTTTTTGCAGAGGGCTGATTCTGTGAGCTGCAGCTGACCACGCCCCCCTGCAGGAGAGGGGAGCGTGCTTTAGATCAGCTGCTGGGCTTTCAGAAGAGGGACAAAAAGAGATCTCCGTCCTCCGTGTTTTATTCTTATAGAAGTAAGAAGAGAAGTAATGGGGCAGAAACCCTCCTTTTTACGCAGCGGTCCAGACATAGACATCAAACGGCGACACATATTCAGTGTGCAGTTCCTTTGGCATTAGGGCAGGGATATCTAGATACTTCCCAAGGTCTGACATCATGAAGTGTGCTACTTTTAAAGCAAGCAACGATGTTTTCAAATCTGTAATCAAAAAGCTCCTCAAAAACACTATCGAAGCAGTTCCTGCTGTTGCTACGTTAGTTCAAACAGTAACAACGGACTACTTTTCTTAGCGGATGCATGTCAATTTAAATCAATACATAAAACTATTTTTTAAATCACTAAAATCCTTTTCTAAATCCATAAAAGCTTTTCAATTAATATTGGGAGTCATGTCGTTACTTTGTTGAGAATGTGGCCATGTAATAAGTGGGATAATGTGCACAGTGCATAATGTGCCTTCATGCCGATCTAGATCCCTCCGCAAAAAAACAAAAAACCGGCTCGTTTATCCCCTGCAACTATTATTATCCCTCAATCGAGTTCGCTATTCAGCTAGCAAACGTTAGCTTAAACAAACGTAACATGCAACGTTAGCCTAATCTAAAATGCTCTACTACGGCGTACCTTTCATGTGGCTCGTCAGCGCAGACTCTCGCATCGTTATTTTTGCAAACTTTGCAGGAGGCTACTCGTGGGCTTGACCCTCGTCTTAGCCATGTATTTGTCTTCTGCTAGCCAACGCTCGTTGAAACTGCAACCTCCTGGCACACAGTCATCTATCACTCTCATCAGAATGCCCAGGTCACACGCAACACAAACACTTGCAGGTCGCGCGCATAGCGCGGGAAGGCCGCAGCGGAGCTGTTTTATGTAAAAGCGAAGCAATTATTTTCTTTTAATCTAAAAAGCGAACTATTCAGTCAGACAGCAATTTATTGTAAAAGTAAAGCATTTACATTTTCAAGCACTTTATCTCAATTTCAAGCACCATTCCCAAAATTCAAGCACTTTCCCAACCTTGAAAACACCACGTCAAATCTCAAGCATTTTCAAGGATTTCAAGCACCCGTACGAACCCTGTATATTGTATGTTGCATTGCTGGAGGAGCTCGGGACTTGAGATTTGTATTGCCAGAACTATGCTGTAGCTCTTTGTGGATCTTTGAAAACAAGAACTAACACAGGTCACACTGTTCAGGTGATAGAGGTGCTCATGATGAAGAAGAAGAAGAAGAAGAAGAAGAAGAAGAAT